GGGGGCGGTGGGAAACGGGTCATGAGGCCGGCAGAGGCCGCTGGGATGGAGTCGGTCTTGAGTGTTGCTTCCGTCGCTTCGGTGGGCAGGAGAGCACGCCCAGGCTTTAGCGGGCTGGTTTCCACCCTGGCATTTTTCTGGGATAAGCTGATTTGCTGTGGAGGCCTGTTTGGGACATGCACCCCCTGGGGTTTCCCCCAATCTTTTTTGGGAATTCCCTTTTGTTTATTCCAATCCTTGTCCATTTCGGGTATGTGTCACCTGGGTGTTGGCAGGTTCAGTTGTTCCCAAAGCCTGCACCTCATTCTCTTTGCAGAAAACAAACAGTTAACCACAGCGATGACCTTAGCACAAATAGCAGCAGTGGGTAACTTTCCCTGAGCAGCCCCCATTCTCTGTGCTCTGGTCACCTCTTGTGACTTGCCCTGGCATCTGCTTGGGGGCCATGTTTTACCAAGGAAGGGGGCTGTCCCTGGAAAGCAGACCCCCCCAGTAGACACTAGTCATTCTGGGGTGCTCTGCGCAGCTGAAAGCAGCAGATGCCCCCCCAGCACTTCCAACTCGCAGGTCCCCCACGAGGGAGGGGTGTGACTGGGCCCTTGGAGCCACCCTGTCCTGCTGAGGGTGTGCAGGTCCCCGCTGGCCACTCTGCTGGCTCAAGACCTCTCCTTCCTCAGAGCCTGGCCCAGGCTCCCCGCTGCCTGCAGCGCCCTTCCGGACACTCTGGGTGGTCAGTGTCATCCCGGGAGCCCTTCTTGGTCTTCTCCTTCTGGGCCTCATGGCCTTTCTGATTCTGCCTCGAGTCACACAAGCCATGCAGAGGGGTAAGCGCGACCCCACCCTGATCCCATCAGCTGGTGTGTGGGAGCAGGAGCAGCTCACAGCTCCAACCTGGTGTTGGGGTCCAGGCAGGTGGGATGCTCCATAGGTCAGGCCTATGCAGACCTACCCCCACAGTCCAGGGAACTGAGAAGCTGAAGAAAGAGACAGACAAATCCAGTTTCTTAGAGAGAAACACTTAAAAGGGACTTATGAAGACAAGTGATGTCCGTGCCTTGGACGGCCTTTAGCTGAGACGGTGGATGCCTATATGATCATCCCTCACAACTAGAAGTTTTATACCCCAGGGGAAGGGGACGTGCAGGACAATTGCTTAAGGGCAGGATTTACGGTAAATGCATGCTCTTATGCAAGGAACAGTAGATAAAATAGAAATCTTAGAGGCCTTCCCGGAGCTGGAGTTGGTCAGAAGTCAACAGGTGGGTCCGCATCTAAGGCAGTTGCTTCAGCCTGCAGGCTGGTCTCACTTAGGGCTTTCTTTTCTTTTTTTGTTTTTGAGACAGAGTCTCGCTCTGCCACCCAGGCTGGAGTGCAGTGGCCGGATCTCAGCTCACTGCAAGCTCCGCCTCCCAGGTTCACGCCATTCTCCGGCCTCAGCCTCCTGAGTAGCTGGGACTACAGGCGCCCGCCACCTCGCCCGGCTAGTTTTTTGTATTTTTTAGTAGAGACGGGGTTTCACCGTGTTCGCCAGGATGGTCTCGATGTCCTGACCTCATGATCCGCCCGTCTCGGCCTCCCAAAGTGCTAGGATTACAGGCTTGAGCCACCGTGCCTGGCCACTTAGGGCTCATTTTATTGGCCAGAGAGAGTGGCAGACATCTGCCTCAGCCTCCAGCCCTCAAGACTGAGCTGAACCCTAGAAGGTTCCCCCAGGCAGCACACTGGGGCTCACCGGGAAGCATCATGTGGTTGACTGACAAGGGACGGTGGCCAGGGATGGGAGGGCACTGGGGGTCTGGCTGTGTTCCTGTGGCCCCCCCATCCTAGCCAACAGCGTCCTGCCTCTCTGCTGCCTGGGTGGGGTTCCCGCCTGGAGTCGCTGCCCTCCCTTGCCTGTGGCCACGTCCACACTGAGGGCCTGCGTGTGACCATGTTCACCTTGCTTCAGGTCTGGGAAGATCTGAGGCATCTCCTGAAGAAGCGATCTATGATGTCATTGGGGAAATGCCGCTAGCAGGACTGTACGAGGAAATCGTGGAGGCCGAGGCCGTGCCCCAGGATGAGGAGGACGCAGGTGTGGTGAAGGGGGACACAGAAACAGCAGGTGGGTTTGTGCTCCAGCTCAGGGGTGAGCTCTGGGGTGGGCTATGGATGCTGACCACAGGATGCAGTGGAAAGGGACTCTGACCACAGGAGCCTGGCTTCAGAAGGGCTGACCACAGGGTTCATGGATGCAAGGGGACCCGTGGGCAGGGGAGAGCAGGGCCACACTAATGAGGGCAGAGTCAGTGGCTGGAGTCCCCATCACAGAGGCCTGCCCTGGGGTGGGAGAAGAGGGCTGTTGGGTGCGCTGGGAGCCGTGGGTCTGGCAGGGGCCTATGCTGCAGCTTGCTCAGCCTGTTTCCTCACCTGTGGGAACTGCGCTGCTGTTGCAGGTGCTTGAGGTGCTTCAGTGTCAAGATGCCTTGAACTTTGCCAGGTGCTTTCTGGTTGACATGTTTGTGCGTCCCCATCTTATGGGCTTGCCAAATGTGCTTTGGGGACAACTTGCACACGTGCCGATTTGGTCATGCGGTGTCTCCTGCGCCAGTTTCAGGGGAGGCGTCTAACCTCCTGGAGGGACAGTCTACACGTGCGGAGGGAGGAACCAACAGACCCGTTTCTCAGGGATATGACGAGGCTGCGTTTCCGCTGGAGGAGATGACATTGTAAAGCACCCTGAGGAGGAGATCCACCAGCTGTCTGTCGAAATCACAGCTCTTCATTCTCTTGTACAGTTGTAGTGGATTTCGTGAGAACGTCTTGGATGCCTTTCTCTTGCAATGTCCTCCACATCCGTATAAAAGCCAGTCTTTCCAGGCCCTGCCTGGCTCTAACCCCCAGCCCCTTCGAGGGCCATCTGCTGTGGACGGTTGTGCTGGGTAACCTTCAGATTTCTCACACATTATAGCAAACGCAAATATGTATAGAAATCAGTGGTTACGTTTGTGGTTTAGAGACACGTGGTGCCATCTTCATCTTCTGCACCCAGCAGTGCGTTGCAGAGCTCCTCACGCCAGAACATTCCTCTTTTTTTCTTAAAATCTCTTCTTAATTGAATCCAAAGTATCTTTTAGATGTCTGCTTGTGTAATCATGTCATCCGTGAATATTCAGATTTATCTTCTCCTTCCAATCCATGTACCTTTAATCTCTTTTTTTGTGCTTTATTTTGTGGACTGGGACCCTTCAGTCCAGTGTTGAATAGAGGTGGCCAATGGGGATCTTATCTCATTCATGGACTCAGAGCAAACGTGTTCCACATTTAATTTCACTATTAAATATAATATTTGATGTTCGGTTTTGTAGATGCTATTTATGAGATCAAGGAAAGCCCAGTCTATCCTTAATTTGTTAAGGGTTTTGCTTTTTATCATAAATAAGCGTTGACTTTTATGAAATTCTTTTTGGTATCTATTAAGATGATAGATGATTTGATTTTCATATGTTACATTAACCATGGGTTAAACAAACTTACCTTTATCATGATATATTATTCTTTTTGTATTTCACAGGAATTAGTTTGGTAATACATTGGGTCAATGTTTAAAAAAGAAAATGATGTGTGATTTTTTTCTTTTGTTGTAGTATTTCTGTTTAATTTTTGCTATGAGGATTATTCAGGTACCATAAGAGTTAGGAGTATATTCTCTTTAAAAAAAATTTGCTAATTTAGGCTCCCACCAACAATGTAAAAGTGTTCCTATTTCTCCACATCCTTTCCAGCATCTGTTGTTTGCTGACTTTTTAATAATCACCATTCTAACCGGCACGAGATGATATCTCCTTGCGGTTTTGATTTGCATTTCTGTAATGACCAGTGATGATGAACTTTTTTTTCATATGTTTGTTGGCTGCATAAACATCTTCTTTTGAGAAGTGTCTGTTCATATCCTTCACCCACTTTTTGATGGGGTTGTTTGCTTTTATCTTGTAAATTTGTTTAAGTTTCTTGTAGATTCTGGACATTAGCCCTTTGTCAGATGGATAGATTGCAAAAATTTTCTCCCATTCTGTAGGTTGCCTGTTCATTCTGATGACCCATCAATGATAGACAGGATAAAGAAAATGTGGCACATATACACCATGGAATACTATGCAGCCATAAAAAAGGATGAGTTCATGTCCTTTGCAGGGACATGGATGAAGCTGGAAACCATCATTCTCAGCAAACTAACACAGGAACAGAAAACCAAACACTGCATGTTCTCACTCATAAGTGGGAATTGAACAATGAGAACACATGGACACAGGGAGGGGAACATCACACACTGGGGCCTGTCAGGGTGTAAGGGGCTAGGGGAGGGATAGCATTAGGAGAAATACTTAATGGGTTGGTGGGTGCAGCAAACCACCATGGCACCTCTAGACCTGTGTAACAAACCTGCACATTCTGCACATGTATCCCAGAACTTAAAGTATAATAAAAAAAATTTGCAAGAGTTTATTTATGTAGCATTGGTTTTATTTCTTCTTAAACATTTGGAAGAATTCACTAGTAAAGCTCTCTATCTAGGCTTGGAGTTTCCTTTTTAGGAAGGTTTTTTTTCCCCAGATTTAATTTTTAAATAAATAATTGAAGTATTCAGATTCTGTATTTCCTATTAGATCTGCTTTGTTCAGTTCTTTTTAAAATGAATTGGTACATTTAATCTAAATTTTCAAGTTTGTCGGTATAAATTTGTTAGTAGTGTCTTTCTACTAGCCTTAATGTCTACAAAATCTGTAGTCATATGCATTTTTCAATCCTGATAGTGGCACTTTGTCTCTTCTCTCCCCCCACCCCCTTGTTTTTTTGAGACCAGGGTCTCACCGTGTTGCCCAGACCAGACTCAAACTCCTGGGCTCTAGCGATCCTCCCTCACAGCCCCCCGCACAGCTGGGACTCTGGGCGCTCTGCTGTTCTTGACTGGTGCTGCTGGTGGCTTATTCATCTCATTAGTCTTTTCAAGGCATGTGGAGCTTGTGCCTTTGGTTGTCTTGATTTTTCTTAGTGAACATCTGCCTTCTAATTCATTTCTTTCTGGTCTCATCTTTGTGATTTACTTCTGCTTATTCTAGCTTTTTTATATGAACATTCAGATTGTTTATGTTCAGCATTTTTTCTTTTTTAATGCATATATTTTAGGTTATAACTTTCCCTTTAGCATGGCTTTCGCTGCATTCCAAGAGTTTTGATATGTTGTGATTTTGTTTTAATAGGTTTATTGGGGTATAATTAGCATACAATAAACTTCACATATTTAAAGAATATATTGCAATAAGTTTTGACATGTGCATACACCCCTGAAAGGATCGCAGCATCTATGAGAATGGTCGCATCCATCACCCCTAACGTTTTTCATCTATGTTTGAATGTCTGTCCTGTCCCTTCCTGTGCCCTGTTCGTACTATTTGAATTTTGTGTAAATGGATTATATAGCACGTACTCTGTTTTGGGTGATGAGAGTCTAGCTTTTTTCACTCAGCACAATTACTTGCGATTCATCCATGTGGTGAGAAACCATAGTTCATTTCTTCCTCTTGGTAAATAGCGCTCCATTGTGCTGTTCACCTGTTCACTTGTTGATGGACATTTGCATTGCTTAAAGTATCAGGCTATTGCAAAAAAATCTGCCACAAATATTCATGTATGACTTATTACAGGGACATGTGCTTTCATTTCTCTCGGCTGCCTAGGAATGGAACGACTGTGCGGTAGGTGCAAGTTTAACATTCCACCCTTTCTGGAGTGGCTGCATCATGTCAGATCCCCCGGTAATCTCTGAGTGTTCTGCTTCCTCCACAAGGTTCCAACACTTGGTTGATAATGTTTGACATTCTAGCAGATATACGGTGCTGTGTCCTTGTGGTTTTAATTTGCATTTACCTAAGGACTAACGATGCTGAACACCTTTTCATGTGCTTACTTGCCATCTGTTGAAGTGTCTGTTCACAATGTTTGCTCATGCTTTCTTGGGTTGTTTGAGTTTTGAGTGTTCTCATGAGGTCCTCAGGGGTGGTCCTTTCCCAGCCGTGGCCCTGGTACTGAGGGGTCCTCCCCACAACAGGAACACAGGAAGCAAGTGTTCAATCAAGTCCTGCAGGGTGGCCTCAGCCAGGCCCAGATGTGGGCATGGGGGCCAGGCCACACTAAGCACCCGGAGCCCCTCTGTACCCCGTTCCTGATGGCACCAGCCCCCAGGTTGAAACAATGGGCAGAGCTTGTCTGTTTGGTCGTTTGCTGCCTTAACAGCCCACTGAGCACGGCTCAGTGCCAGCTCCCTGGCAGTCTGTAAACAAGGTGGGAAAGGCAGGGCTCAGGGAGCTCCTCACGGAGGTCGAAGACAATTAATGAACACACCAGAAAAGGGACAGACAATGATGCAAATAGTACATGCTGTGTGGAGATTTACAGTGGGGAGGTGAGAAGGAGAGAGCCCCGGCGACCACTTTGAGTTGGGCCCTGTCTCAGTCCTCTTGTGGCCTTTAGACCAAGGCTTTATTGATGAGGTGGGACCAGACATGCAGAGCCTGGAGCCGGAAGGAGCCGGGTGCCCACAGAGGCAGGAGGATGGTACGAGGCAGGCCAGAGAGTGCAGCAGGCCCCGAGGACACACACGACCTGCTCCCTCTCACCTTCCCTGCAAGGTGTGGGGTCCCCGCGGACTAAGACGATATCCTTGCCTCTCCAAGGGTTAACATTCTTTTTAAATATCCATAGGATATTTGAAAAACCTGATCATGCTTCAATTCTCATGTTTAACTGAAAAAGACTGAGATGACACGTGCAGCATGCATGTCACGTTCAGCTCACACAGACCGGTCAGCGTGGGTCCCGGCGTTTGTTGCTGGATGTGCACTGGGCCACAGGAAAGTCTCAGCCAGGTTTCAAAAGTAGACCCAATCTAGTCATGCCCTTTGACTGCAAGTCCACACAGTTAGAATTGACAACACAAGGATGACTTCTACAATGAACAGTCTTGATACTTAAAAACGTTCCTTCAAGTAATTTGGGTCAAAGAGAAAGTCAATATTGATATTACAGACCATGTAGAAATCCACAGTCACAAGGTCACTGCCCTCAGTTTCTGGGGTCTGCGTAGTTGGAAGCATTTCACTGTCTCCTCTGTGTGAAGTTTATCCTGGTGTCCGGCCTGAGGGTGAGTTTCTGCCTGAGTGCCTTGCAGGGGGCTCGGCTGAGGAGGCCAGGAAGGGGATCCTGGGCTGAGGGCAGCTGGAGGCTGGGTCTCCCTGCCAGGCCACAGGCCAGCGAGTGGTGCAGATTTGTGGCCACCCCTCCTCAAAAGTAAGAAACTAATTATAGTCGCAAAATACGCAGGAATAGCTGATCGTGCTAAACTGGACGAGAGCCTGTGTTCAGGGCTGCGACTTTATATTGCACACATTTATTACTGTGACTTCTGTTAATATTTTCAATATTTAAAAAAAAAAACGAATTAAAACGTATTACTATTTTGAGCCTATGACCAGAAGCACAAGAGTCCCAGCAGGAGGCAGGCGGCAGGCCCAGAGAGGGGTTGAAGAGACTTTGGTGAAGGGGCTGTCAGGAGGGTGGGGCAGGGTGTGAGGAGACTACCCTGGCATCCCCTGAAGTGTGGAGTGAGGACTGCAGCCAGGGTGGTGGGAGGCCGACTGGACTCCAAGGAGAAAACCAGCACTGCCCAGAAAGGGGCCTAGCAGGAAGGGAGCCCGTGGCCACTGCCTTGTTGTTTGGCCTCCTGGCAGTGCTGGGCGAAGGGCAGAGCCAGTGTCGGAGGGCAAGACAGACGTGTCCCAGGGCAGGACCCCGAGCTCCTCAAACCCGGGGAGGACGGTGGATACAGGAGAGGTCCGTGAAGGCACCTGAGTGACTGATTCCCGCCTACCGGAGCTATGGAGTGAGCCTACTGGATGTGTCTGGATTTATGATGGTGTCAAATGTGCTGAAACTATTACTTCATTTTGATTTGTATAAGAAAGAATTCCAGCCACAACCTTCCACTTTTATCTCATTTCATTCTCTAGTTCTGAATTCTGTTTTTCTCTGGAGATCATGACTAAATGGAATCCCAGGGATTTTTAACATAGCGACTGTTAGATGGGAAATGTTTTACAGGGAACATATCGGTCCCCAAGGACTGAAACTTGGCTTAGTCACGTGAACACAATTAACACCCAGAGCCCCACCCCGGGCAGCCCCGGGACCCCAGCTGGGGTGGACCCGCCTCTTACCTCACAGGTAGAAGAAAGCGTAAAGCCTGATTATTTCATTCAACTGAGTAAAGAAAGTTGAGTTTTTTTCTGGCTGTGGCTCTAGGGCCCCCAGCCCCTCCTGGCCCCGAAGGAGAAGGGTGGGTGGGATGAGAGCAGCTGCTCACCTCAGTGGGGAAGGGCCCTGCCTTAAGAAGTGGGCTCTGGGGCCTTCCCTTCATGCCTGCTAGTGGTGGGACCTTGGACATCTTTCCTGACCTCCCTCTGCCTCAGTTTGCACACCTATAAAATGGGGTTATTAGTAGGATGAAGGTTGCTGTTGGGTGTAAAGGGATTCGAAGAACGTTCTGCACATTGTGAGCTCCATAGGAGTGGGCTCACCTCCTTCTCCTT